GCGTATTTCCATCCTCGAATCGTCGAATTCCGGAAACCTTCCAGGTAGAAATCGAGCTTTCATCGAAGCTTACGAGATGGCCTTTTCCACGTTTGTTGAAACATGACCTCCAGCATATTCCAATCCAGTATACATCGCCAACTTCTGGACATTTCAAGCCTTCAGATGTTGCCGTAGGTCTCTCAGGATATCCCACAGTGCGTGATAGGTTGGCGGCTCGGATGAGCGGCCCTGGTGACCAGCGCGTAGGCGACCCCATCCGGAACACACACCTTCTCAACCTAGCTGGTGCTCTTCGAACCTCTTGTGGCATACAAACTTCTTCTGGAACAGGGAAGCTACGCCCCTTAAGGTCGTTGGCTGGGCAATATGCCAGCGAATGTTCTTGAGGCACCGCAAATAAGTCTCCTTGGTCACTCCAACTACCACGAAGGCCTAAGGCCTAAACACCCATTGGGTACCGTGGGACTATAGGGGGATACAGGGGAAAGGGGAAACGCCACACGGACTCTGGCGAGGAAAAACGTGTGCATGCAATATGCACACATTCTGGCTCCGCGTACGAGATTCGCCGGGTGGTACCTCCGCATTCGACAGTCAGAGACCGTCTACCACCTACGGACAATCACAACATCCATAGCCAAGAGAAAAAATTCCTCCTGGGACGGGGTTCGAAACCGCACAGCGCACGGTGACTGATCAGGAGATCGAAGGGTGTATTACTGCGGCCACCGCTGCTGCCTATAAGCCTTGCAGCTTCCCGAATAAGCCCCGAGGAACTCTTCTAACGAATGACTTGTGCTTGAAGATAATGGGCGCGTGCTTCCGTCGAAAGGAATCAGTCGGTTCTAGTGTACGACTATCGGCTTTCCCTTGGTACCCTTCCCAATTCGGTAGACGACTTCGCTGATCCTCTTCAGACATTCGTAAGGGCCGCCCCAGGACCGTTGCAGCTCTAGTGAAAGGTATTTCTTCCGTTGGGGATCGCCTTGTTGATAGTCACCCCTTTCGGTACGAACGTCTTAACGTTCCTTCATCTGATCACTTGCAGTTTTCATTTGATTGTGCACCTCCTCATGGATCTGGGACATGCGTTTTTTTGGGATGGATACCTTCGTCATTCGCTCAGAGACGACTTCCAAATGCAGGTCACAAGGTAGCCGGAACTCACTCCCGAACAACACTTTCGCCGTGGCCTGGCCCGATACGCCAACAGGGACAGATACCAACACCACCACTTACCACCAGCTCGTCAGATTTGGGGTGCAGCGCCGTAGTTCTGGTCTTTCTGATGACCAGCTTCTCGCAGACTCCTTTGAAGAGTTCGCTCTCCTAGTCCATGCCCTGGTAGGAGCGCAGCTCTAGTGGGACTCCAAATCGGCTGATAAGGTTCTCGACCAGAACGCCTACAACTGTTGCAACTTCTTGGTTGGGGATAGCGTACGCTTCGTCCCACTTACTGAAGTACTCCATGACAACCATCTTCGATTCTAGAAATGGTCCCGAGATGTTGACGGCTACCCTCTCGAATGGACTGCCCGCGTTATATTGCGACAGCTTTTGCGTTTAGCAGCCACAGCGGTACCTTGCCCGCGGAACAGGTTTTGTGTTTCCGGCACCACTTCCTGACGTCTTCCGAGCAGTTCACTTAGTAAAGCCGCTCTCGAACCTTTCCAAGGGTCTTCTGGTCGCCAATGTGTCCTCCTGGCGTTCCACCGTGGAGCTGACGGAGAACCCCGGGCACAAGATGCAGCCTCCGCTGAGACATATCTTCGTTCTCCACGGCTCGCTTCAGGACGCCATTTTCTAGCATCAAAGAGCTCCACTGAGCCCAGTGACTTGACCGCTTGTGGCAGTAGGGCGACTTCCTCCCAGGTTGGTCGACGGTCCTCTTTCTTTCACTGCTTCAGCCGTTTGATATCAGGATCGCGCTCCTGGTCTTCACTAATATTATCAGGCAACCAGGAATCATACACTACCGTCGTCTTGGAGATGGTCGCTGTTCTCTCTTCGAGCCTATCGCATTGAGAGGACTCCGGTGGGCACCGCTTCCTGAACTAAGCGTCGGAGTTGCGATGACTCAATGCCGCACGTCTTCCGAGCAGTTCACTTAGTAAAGCCGCTCTCGAACCTTTCGAAGGGTCTTCTGGTCGCCCATATGTCCTCCTGGCGTTCCACCGTGGAGCTGACGGAGAACTCCGGGTACCAGATGCAGCCTCCGCTGAGACATATCTTCGTTCTCCCCTGCTCGCTTCAGGACGCTATTTTCTAGCATCAAAGAGCTCCACTGAGGCCAGCGACTTGACCGCCTGTGGCAGTAGGGCGACTTACTCCCAGGTTGGTCGACGGTCCTCTTCCTTTCACTGCTTCAGCCGTTCGATATCAGGATCGCGCTCCTGGTCTTCACTAAGATTATCAGGCAACCAGGAGTCATACACTACCTTCGTTTTGGAGATGTTCGCTGTTTTCTCCTCGGGCCTACTGCAGTGAGAGGACTCCGGTGGACACCGCTTCCTGAACTAAGCATCGGCGTTGCGATGATTCAATGCCGCACGTCTTCCGAGCAGTTCACCTAGTAAAACCGCTCTCGAACCTTTCGAAGGGTCTTCTCGTCGCCCATGTGTCCTCCTGGCGTTCCCCGTGGAGCTGACGGACAACCTCAGGCACCAGATGCAGCCTCCGCTGAGACATATCTTCGTTCTCCCCTGCTCGCTTCAGCACGCCATTTTCTAACATCAAAGAGCTCCACTGTAAGGCGACTTCCTCCCAGGTTGGTCCACGGTCCTCTTCCTTTCACTGCTTCAGCCGTTTGATATCAGGATCGCGCTCCTGGTCTTCACTAAGATTATCAGGCAACCAGGAGTCATACACTACCTTCGTTTTGGAGATGTCCGCTGTTTTCTGCTCGGGCCTACTGCAGTGAGAGGACTCCGGTGGGCACCGCTTCTTGAACTAAGCGTCGGCGTTGCGATGACACAATGCAGCACAATGCTCGATCTTCTCAAGATAAAACGGAATACCCTTGGTCATATAGTCTTCAGTCTTGCTTGATGACAAAACGTTGCATGACAAGCAACTCGTGGGATTTGCATGAGTGTCTATGGGGTCTATTTAAAGAGTAAAACTCTCTACACTTTAATTTATGGATTATTACTTTTCCAAAGCATTCCACGACGTATTTTGTCTGTCTACAGCAGATGTTGAAAGAGATATTGTATTTAATCAGAAAAACGCAATGATTTTGAGTAAACGTCGAGGTCGCGGTTTACGAGGTAAATAATCACCTCTGTCTAACTTAGATAGGAGTGTCATCATATATCATGTGTGAAAAGCCCATATTATATAATTTTCTATGTATTACTGTACTCATCTGAAAGAATTTTACATGTTCGTTAACTCCGTGTCCCCCATTCTAGTACCGCTTGTGTATTTGTGCAACAGAAAACGAAAGTCATACTGTGTAAATGTTATACATACATATGCTTGATAAAATAATAAATATGAAAGTGTTATGCTGTGCTGATAAGGCTGATAAGAGTAAATCATAAATCATATGCTTGGTATATTTAAGGTGTATTAATTGACTGTATATTTGGCGTTTTGATAATGGATGCGTTTTGAGATACTGGGATTTGATTTGGAATGTGGATATTGGCAAATACTAGTTGTCAAGATAAAATATTATGTATTCTAGCGGAAAAATGAAACTACGAGGGTGGTCCCAACGAGAAAACACAAAAATTTTGTAAAAAAAAATATAGCATAATCTCCTTTGAGCTCTATACACTTTTCCCAGCGATGCTCAATAAGTTTGATACCTTTTTTATAATAAGAACTCAAAATAGCCATTAACTGCCGACATCACTTCTCCATCGTTGAAAAATATTTGATCACTGAGCCATTTTTTCAAGTTTGGAAACAGAAAATAATCCGAAGCAGTTAAATCTGGTGACTAGGGTGCATGAGGTAGCAATTCTATTTTTAATTCGTTAATTTTGGCCATTGCAATAACGGATTTGTGAGCTGGTGCATTGTCTTGATGAAACAACGCTTTCTTCTTAACCAAATGCGGCCGTTTTTGCTTGATTGCATCGCTCAAACGTTGCAATACGTTAGCATAATACTCGCCGTTGATAGTTTTACCATTTTCAAGATAGTCAATGAAAATTATCCCACGCGCGTCCCAAAAAACCGACGCCATAACCTTGCCTGCAGATGAAACGGTCTTCGCCTTCTTTGGAGCCGGTTGTCCCTTTTGAGTCCATTGTTTTGATTGTTCTTGTGTCTCGGGTGTGAAGTGATGGACCCATGTTTCATCTATGGTTATGAAACGACGCAAAAATTCTGCTTTGTTGCTGTGAAACTTCGCTAAACACTCAATTGAAACAGCTTTGCCGTGTCCAAATTTTCAGATAATATGCGATGAACTGCACTTTTTGAAATGCCTACTATGTCTGCTAGCTCGCGCACTTTCAGTCGACGATCATTTAGTACCGCTTTGTGAATTTTCTTCACCGTTTCTGGAGTCGTCACCTCATTTGGTCGACCACTGCGAACCTCGTCTTGTCAGCTCAAACGGCCTCGTTTAAACTCTGCTACCCAATATTTTACTATTGTAAACGAAGGAGCAGACTCACCCAGAGTAGAATCCAGTTCAGCTTTTATATTGGTTGGGCTGAGGCTTTTGAAATAAAAGTATTGTACCACATAACGATGACCAATTCTCTCCATTTTCACAAATTAACTGAAAACGTTCAGTATTGATGGCTGCCAGACAAATACTAAACAACGTGGCGTCTTCAAACTTGACACATATGCTTTATAGGTTGCATACCTTTTAATACAATGATATTTTTCAAACAACTATCGCCATCTCTACGTCAGGCCGGGTACTTCTGGGACCACCCTCGTAGGTAAATGATGAACTTCAAAATGCTTTTTGCACCCAAAAATTTATTTGACTTATAAAACAGAAAAATAAGGACGATTGAAAACAAAGTTCAGAATATGTGTCTTTGTGATTCCTCTAAAAAATTTTCTGTCTTCGGCTGAAAATAATCAAAAAGTGTTTTGTCTCCACAGTACCGAGGAACCAATATTAGGCAGTTGTTATGACTTAAAGGATACTTTGTAATCCCCAACATCTAAATTGGTGACAAATTGGTTAAGGCTTTCGCGGCCAGTTGATAAAGTGCTGTCTTGATTCGGGTCTAAAGGCCTTCGTCGGTCGGAATTTCTTCCTAACGTTTCGCTAGCACGAGTCAGGAAGCCAGGTAACAAGCTGGGTCACACAGTGTACAGGAAACCAACGCACACAGACAGATACCTGCACGATTTGTCCAATCATCACCCAAGTCAGAAGTATGGAGTCATCGGAACCCTGACAGTACGAGCTCGAAGGACAGAACTTGAACACCTGAAAACTGCGTTGGAAGCAAATGGCTATAACAAGAGGGACATCGAAAGATCAATGGGCTCGAGATCAGCCAGGCCATGTGAAACCGAACAGCGTCCCACCACCTCTCAAGCGTATCTTCTATTTGTGCCAAGAGTCCCGGACAGGATTGGCAGAGTCCTGAAGAGACATGACATTAAAACAATCGCATACGAAGAAGATCCAACAAACCATCAGATCGGCAAAGGACAAGAAGGACCCACTCTCAGCTGCAGGAGTCTACCGCATACCGTGTTCATGCGGCAAAGTACACATTGGAACCACGAAAAGATCAATGGGAACGAGACTCAAGAAGCACAAAGCAAATTGCCGGCTAGGACAAACTGAGAGGTCTGCGGTAGCTGAACATGCTCTAAGCAATGGAGACTACTGGATACACTTTGGTAGCTGCAGGTTGCTGCCATCAGTCAACGGCTATCACAATAGACTGGTCAGGGAAGCTATCGAGATTCACAAACATCCATATAACTTCAACTGCAGATTTAGAATCAGAACGTTCAGATCTTCAATCATGCCCAGTTTCATTCAAATCGGAGATCATCGAAAATGATCACTTTTTGCACAAGAGTGCCACGTCCACCACGTGCTTCCGTGACGCGTGCGCGATCGAGTCAAATTTCGGGAAAAAGGGGCAAAATTGGGGAGGGGGGTTAGCTCGTTCGGCAGCACACACTCGGGGAATGCGCAGCGGCCTGAACCACGCAGCGCCATGCCAGGCTTTCGGGCGGGAGGAGCAGATTGCTCTTCTCCCCACTCCTCAAGGGTTTGAGGTTGCCTGGAACAGGGGTGGTGGAGGGACCGCACAGGGTAGGAGGATGTGTGTGTGTGTGAAATCATCAGTCTACATCCAGCATCGGAAGTGGAAGGACCTCTGAAGAAGCTTGCCACTCGTGCTAGCGAAACGTTAGGAAGAAATTCCAACCGACGACGGCGTTTAGACCCGAATCAAGACACCATTTAAATTGGTGCAACCGATTCTGAAATTACGCGGTGTGAGAGCGTAATAGACAAACAGATATAGGTATAAATACCGACGGACAAGTCATCTACAATTGTTGGTCACCTTTATGGCCTCCTTGATTTTCATAGGCTGGGGTATTTATAGATTTCTACTGATCCGTGTTAGCGTCAGCGCTCTCCCATTGTAAGGCTATGTTTATAAATAGTGAATAGACATTTCTAACATAACTTGAAAATGGCGCACTGACACGGAATAGTAGAAAACTATGAAAATCAAGAAGGCCATAAAGGCGTCCTACAATAATTGTAGGAACAACTGACGATACTACCCTAAGTGCCAGTATTCATTGTGCTGGTTTCTTACCAAATCTTTGACTTGGTTCCTTATTGTGCTTTTTGGCACCTCCAAGACGGGTTCTGACACCCACATCAAAGTTACCATGTTGCTTTCAGTGACGCCGAACTGTCATTATTTACTCTTACGCAGTGCAAGATGACATACACTTTTGTGTGGAATGCAGCGGTGTGTCTTGTAATTGGTATACTATGTCTAGGATTACACCTGCTCCAAAATATACCTGCACCTGTGCCCCGTTCAGTTGTATACCAGGTAATTTCTTCTTGCAGGCTGTGCCTTTGAGCGATCTCGAAGATCTTTTTGGATAGAAATCTGGGAACTATGTGATCCTTCCTCATTGCACGCTTAGAGCCGTTTTACACACAAGAGAATTACTCCGAAAATTATGGTCATAATTATGCCGAAAATGTTTGCTGCCGTATTACACGTAAAAGAAATCTTGTGAAAATGTTCATGGTAAAAATATACTAAGTGACATATAAATCCGAACACCCAGTTTAAATGGTTTTATTTTAATAAAATTTTGTATAAGTACTTAATGAAGCATAATAAATAAATGATAAAAATTTCAAAATGATTGCACTGCTTTAAAGCCCTTTGACCTTTAATAATGTGTGGATGCACCCTGATGTGCTACGCATTTTCCAACGCGCCTAGGCATGCTTCTGATCAGGTGGTCAATGTCCTCCTGTGGTATCTCATTCCAGGCAACCACCAACTCCTCTCGAAGTGCTTCTAGAGTCTGATGAGGACGTTGCAAATTGAGCAATCTCCTACCCATCATATCCCACACGTGCTCAATTGGGGATAAGTCGGGAGATCTTGGTGGCCATGGTAACAATGTGAAATCATTATGTTGAAAGAAGTCTATTGTGACTCTTGCAACATGTGGTCGGGCATTATCTTGTTGGAAAGTTGGATCTGCCAGGGTGTCAAGATAGGGTAAACGATGGGGTTCTAGAACTTCGTGGATATAACGCTGCGCGTTCATGTTACCTCTGATGAAGATTAAAGGTGACTTGGAACCATAAGCTATAGCACCCCAAACCATAACTCCAACAGTGTGATGAACATGTCTTTCAACAAAAAACTGTGGATTCTTCCTTTCACCACGTCGCCTTCTAACCCTGGCACGACCATCGTGCATGCCTAAACAAAATCGAGACTCGTCACTAAAGACAATACTGTTCCATTCCTGATCCCAGAGTGACCGTTGTCTTCACCACTCAAGGCGATTACGTCGGTGTTCTCAAGTTAAAGGGAGGATCCAGTGTGGCCGGTATGAAAACAAGCCAAAACTTCTCATTCGTCGGTAAACACTTCGCATGCCAATAGGTCTTCCGTGTTCTGCAAACCACTCATTTGCAATGGACCTGGTAGTGGAGAAACGGTCCCTTAAGGCCAATAAGCTTAGGCGGCGATCTTCACGGTCTGTTGTTCTACGGCGGTGTCCAGTGCCCCTTGCTCTTTGCGTACGGCCTTCTCGAAGCCATGCCTGACAACACCTAACCACAGTGTCTACACTTCTTTGCACTCTAACTGCAATTGCCCGAAAAGAAAGTCCAGCTTCCCGAAGTCCCACTATACGGCCCCTATCAAACTCACTAAGTTGACGAAATCGTACAGGTCTCCATACTCTAGGCATCGTATCCGATCGTAAAGGATGTCAAGAACCAAAATCCGCCAACGTTGATTTTTTACTGCGGCTGAAATATTCATTTTTAGAGCGTTAGTGAATTAAAAAAAAGCAGTATAAAAACCGGAATGTCCAACTGATAAGGCTGAAAATTTTTTCACTTGTTATTTACAGTAAGATAAATACATTCACCAGCTTTTATTAAAATAAAACCATTTAAACTGGGTGTTCGGATTTATATGTCACTTAGTATATATTGAAGATTTTCTCTACAACCTGTATGACACAAGCAAACAAAATTTCGGAGTAATTCATATGGTACGCCTGCGCATTAGAGTAATATTTTCGAATGGACATAACCTTAACGGGTATGACGTCCAATATAATCGGAAAGACAACAGACGTCGTTGATTTAAATTTATTTTTGAAATCGGGCAATTGCAGTTAGAGTGCAAAGAAGTGTAGACACTGTGGTTAGGTGTTGTCATGCATGGCTTCGAGAAGGCCGTACGCAAAGAGCAAGGGGCACTGGACGCGGCCGTAGAACAACAGACCGTGAAGATCGCCGCCTAAGATTATTGGCCTTAAGGGACCGTTTCTCCACTACCAGGTCCATTGCAAATGAATGGTTTGCAGAACACGGAAGACCTATTGGCATGCGAAGTGTTTACCGACGAATGAGAAGTTTTGGCTTGTTTTCATACCGGCCACACTGGGTGCTCCCTTTAACTCGAGAACACCGACGTAATCGCCTTGAGTGGTGCAGACAACGGTCACTCTGGGATCAGGAATGGAACAGTATTGTCTTTAGTGACGAGTCTCGATTTTGTTTAGGCATGCACGATGGTCGTGCCAGGGTTAGAAGGCGACGTGGTGAAAGGAGGAATCCACAGTTTTTTGTTGAAAGACATGTTCATCACACTGTTGGAGTTATGGTTTGGGGTGCTATAGCTTATGGTTCCAGGTAACCTTTAATCTTCATCAGAGGTAACATGAACGCGCAGCGTTATATCCACGAAGTTCTAGAACCCCATCTTTTACCCTATCTTGACACCCTGGCAGATCCAACTTTCCAACAAGATAATGCCCGACCACATGTTGCAAGAGTCACAATAGACTTCTTTCAACATAAAGACTTCGAGAGGAGTTGGTGGTTGCCTGGAATGAGATACCACAGGAGGACATTGACCACCTGATCAGAAGCATGCCTAGGCGCGTTGGAGAATGCGTAGCACATCAGGGTGCATCCACACATTATTAAAGGTCAAAGCGCTTTAAAGCAGTGCAATCATTTTGAAATTTTTATCATGTACTTATTATGCTTCATTAAGTACTTATACAAAATTTTATTAAAATAAAACCATTTAAACTGGGTGTTCGGATTTATAGGTCACGTATATTTCCATGCAAATTTTCGGCATAATTATGACCATAATTTTCGGAGTAATTCTCTTGTGTGTGAAACGGCTCTAAGACACGTACTAGTGGTGCCACATAACGTTCCGCGGATAAAAAAGCAGTGCAGAAAGCTAGTAGGGTGAACAAATAATACTACCACAAAGGTATTAATCTTGTAAGTACGTGGGAACTAGGCGGAATAAAACACATTGCAAGTGTGAATATTAATATATGAATAAGA